AATCCTGCCCTTTTCTCTTCTTTCTCCTTTCAGCTGATGTTTGGAGGCCTTTTTTACTACCAGTTCAGCTGAACCGGATCGAACCAGTAGCATACCACCACTGATGCTGACCTCAAAGTAAACAGTGTTCGGATCAACAATTTAAGATATGCTGATGACACAGTTCTGCTTGCCAGTAAGCATGAAGACTTTCAATTCTTCAACAGTCACAGAAATATCTGAAAATATGGCTTGAAGCTTAACACCTCAGAAATCAAGATCATGGTCATCAGCAAACAACCCATTAATTTACCACCAATAACTTCGGAAGGAATGCCACTAGAAAAAGTTAAAAGGATCACATACCTTGATTCTAATTTACATGAAAGGTGGAACATGACCACTGAAGTAAAACCAAGAATAGGGAAAGCTCGAACAGCATTCTTTAAAATGAAAAAAGGTCTTCTGTAGTCACAACATAAGCCTAAGATTAAAAATCAGGCTTGTCAGATGTTATATTTTTGTTGTCCTGCTCTACAGAGTAAAGAGTTGGTCTTTGACAGAAAGTCACTTGAAGGAACTAGAAGCATTTGAAATGTGGATTTACAGATGGCTGTTATGTATAAGTTGACAAAATCAGAAATGAGGAGGTGATAAGCCACTTGGGGAAGCAAAGGGAAATCTTCAAAACCATAAAAAAGTGAAAGTTATAATATCTTGGACATGTGACGCAACACCCAGAAAAATACAGCATACTTCGTTTAATCCTCCAGGGAAAGATTGAAGGCAAATGAGGTTCAGACAGAAGAAGAACATCATGGCTTCAAAATCTAAAGAAGTGGTTTGGACAAAACTCAACAGCATTTTTTTGTGCAGCTGTTGATAAAAATAGGATCACCAACATGATAGCCAACATCCGATGATGGATATGGCACAAGAAGAAGAAGAAAGGTCTTTCAGAATACAAAGAGAAACTGAAACACAACTCTTGAAAGCAACTGCGTCTTTCCCCCAATTCCCATCACAGCTGCATGGGACAAGACACAGCTGCATTCAAGAGCTGCAGATAGGGCTTATCTTTCCTATGCACTGGAAAACATACGTTTCAAACTACAGGTAGTCCTCGACTTACAACAGTTCATTTAGTGACCGTTCAAATTCCCACGGCACTGAAAAAAAGGGACTTACGACCGTTTTTCACACTTAAAACCATTGCAGCATCCCCATTGTCTTGTGACCAAAATTCAGATGCTTGGCAATTGATTCATATTTATGATAGTTGCAAGAACCTGGGATCAAATGATCTCATTTTGTGGCCTTCTGACCAGCAAAGTAAATGAGGAAGCCAGATTCACTTAACTGTGGCAAGAAAGGTCATAAAATGGGGCATTTAAGAACTATCTTGTTTAAGCAACAGAAACTCTGGGCTCAATATAAGTCAAGGACCACCTGTATTTTCAAATCTTACACAGCCCTCAAGTTTGCATGCAGCACGTTGCAATTTTATGAAAGCTAAGTAACTTCTTTTCCTCTCTAAATTAACACAGGAGAACCTTGTGAAATTTGACATATGTTTCTGCATTGTTTGTAGATTCTGAAAGGAGGGAGGGGGAGGAAATATTTTTGTCAACTCCCAGATTTTTATGTGAGTCACGCACATTCATAGAACTTCTTCCCGTTAACTCCATCCGCAGGTGAGTAAATCTGTTGTGGGAATCTGAAGACATTCTCAGAAGGAATATTTGAAGCCTGACACAGCAGAATGAATTTTCATGGCTGCATCTCACCTATTCAAACATCATGAGTTGACAGCCTGGCATTAGTGCAGGTGTGGGGGGAGGGTATAGGGAAAGATTGGAATGTAAAGAAGAAAGTGGGGGATGGAAACCCAGCTGCACTTTGTGAGAAACTATGGCCAAGGTCAACTAAGAATATGCAGAGCTGGGGACCTTGGAATTAAGCACCTGTTTGCTAAGCAATATACAGGAACCTGATTGGACATTTGCAGGTAACCAGGGAATGACTGGGCTGGGGTGGGGGGCTTGGGAGAGGGGATTTTCCTTTGTGTTGTTTGCATGGGAGAAACTCAGATTCAGTTTATGCTACTTCTATAACCATTTAAGTTTCAGCGAAGTATATTCTGGGCAAAACAAATGGGCAAGAGTCTGTCTTCACTCGATGACTGAGTGGAATGTTTGTGAGATTCATGCAAATGCTATGCATACTGGACAAACTTATCCTCCATGGGTACACTGAATGCAGAGCAGTTTTTCGGGAATCAAAATGCAGTGGGCCCCATGGTTTTGTGCAGAGCTCAGCATGCACAGCAGTGGTGGGATTCAAATTTTTTTTACTACCAGTTCTGTGGATATGGCTTGGTGGGCATGGCAGGGGAAGGATACTGTAAAATCCCCATTCCCTCCCACTCCTGGAGGAAGGAAGGTTACTGCAAAATCTCCATTGCCTCCCCATCCCACCAACCTGCTTTCCATTCTGTTGTCCTATGTTGCCCAGGACAACAAAAGAAGACCCAGCTGATCAGCTGGGACTCAGGAGGCAGAGAATAGATGGGGCGAGGCCAGTCAGAGGTAGTATTTGCCGGTTCTCTGAACTACTCAAAATTTCCGCTTCCAGTTCTCCAGAACTGGTCAGAACCTGCTGAATACCACCTCTGGTGCACAGGTGTCACTTCTCCAGTGGGTTGCCAATTTGCTTCTGGATGCAATTCAAGGTGCTGGTTGTCACCTTTAAATGGGACTAAGTTATCTGGTCACATCCACTTGACCCACTAGAGCAGGGAGGCATGGAATGTTGCCTCTCCTGTGCCCTAAGGGAATACATCTGGTGGGACCCAGAAGCAGGGCATTCTCTGTGGTAGCTCCCTCTCTTTGGAATCTCATTCATTCAGAAATTAGACTGGCCCCCACTTTGACAGTCTTTCGTAAAGACCTGAAGACTTGATTTTGCCAGTGAACCTGGGGAATCCAGAGTGAAATGGAGCCCCCATCAAACAGCTAATTTGACTGTGTGTTGTCACTTGGGTGGGTGGGTGATTGTTTTGTTATTTTTTTATTTTCTATATTGTGCTTCTATTGCTTGTAAGCTGTCAAGAGTCACTGTGAGCAAATAGATGGCTATGTAAATTTTCTAAATAAATAAAATATTACTTTTGTCACCCTCCAGATTCTCATATAACTCATTTGTATCTCTTTAAGGCAGCATTTAAAGGTTATTTTCTTTTCCTGGCACAAGCAAAGCTTTTATACTCCCACCAATAAATGCTCTTTTAAAAAAAAAACCTGGCCAAGAACTGCAGTTCTTAGGGAAAAGGCCTGCAAGCCTGTAAATGGTAACAGAAAACAGGCAACATGAAACCAGTCCTTGGACAACTTAAGATGTACAAATAAAATAGATAACACTGTTTATTTTTGCAAGAATTTAAATATGCCAGCTTTGGTTGTAAAGGGGATACAGAAAGAGAGAGAGACAGAGACAGAGACAGAAGCAGAGAGAGATAGAGAGAGAGGGAGAGGGAGCGGGAGAGGAAGAGAAGAAGGGAGGGAGGGAGGGCACACAAAATTGGAATAGAGACATTTTTTCTGGCAAGGCCTCCTTTTACATCAGTAAGAGACACTGCATGACACACTTCCTGGAATAGGGGTCTCAAACCTTTTAGACCTCAGGGACCACCAAACTTATAATTTTAAATCAGTGGACCAGAGACCCTGAGAAAATCCAAAAAAACAGTCGGCAGGAAAATTCCCCACCTTATTTTCCTATCGATCGATGATTCTTTATTTGGGATTGCAGGATACCGTCTCCAGATCCGTTCTCAGGGGGAGAGAGAGAGAGAGACTTTTGGCTTCATGCAAAGAAAGCAGCAGAAGCAGCAGAAGTCTTTCTTTCTCTACCCCAAACTCCGCCAGAAATGAGTCTTTGCAAGACTTGTTGCACAGACACAGCTCCTTGGAGCAGGATGCCTTGCAGGATCCTCCATCTGATCCTCCATTTCTGATGGAGTTTGGGGGAGAGAAAGAAAGACTTTGCTGCTTTCCTTGCATGCAGCCAAAAGCAGAAGAAGAAAGAAATGGAAAGAAGCAGCCAGGTGGCCAGGCAAGGCAAGTGGGGTGAGTGGGGCAAGTTTTCCCCTTCCATCCTTTCCCCCTCCCCTCACTACCTCATGTTGTTTGCAATGCAAGCGACACAAGTCTTGTGTTCCCATGGGCCATGTGGGCAGCACAGAGCCTGGATTAATTGCTTTTGGGGGTGCTTTTGGGGGGGGGGGTATTTCTCTGTGGACCACCATTTTTTTCTCATGGACAACTGGTGGTCCCCGGCCCACTGATTGGTGAACACTTTCCTGGAAAACTTACAACAGATTTCAAGTGGGATTTTGCTTTTACTCATTGTAAATTACTGGAAATCTCAGCTAAGGAGATTTCAGGAAGAAATTACTCTTGTTGTATTCAGGTCAACACCAATGCAGACCACAAATTCAGCAATGTGGCAGAAAGAGGGTTTTTTTTTTAATCCTCAGAATGGACCTAACTTGTTAAATATGGTTCCTTAAGGGAAGAAAGTAGGAAATGTTGAATGTCACACCCTTCAATTATCCTGGCAATGATTTTCCTGGGTTTTCTTTTCACCATTAACTAAGGGATGCTAGAAGCTGTAGATTAGCCTCTGGAAGGTCATGGATTGTCCATTCCTGCTTTAAAACCACAATGCTGAGATTAAGAACCAAGGAGAAATTTCCTGACAATTAGAACAATTAATCAGTGGAAAGATTTGCCTCCCAAAGTTGTAGGTACTTTAACACTGAAAGTTTTTAAAGAGTCTGAAATGGTATAGGGTTCCTGCCTGAGCAGGGTGTTGGACTAGAAGATCTTCAAGGTCCTTTTATTCTTTTATTCTGAAACAAGGAAGGAGGAGAAAGAAAGAAAGAAAGAAAGAAAGAAAGAAAGAAAGAAAGAAAGA